AAGAATAAATATGATAGGAAGACAAACACCCAACACAACAGGTCCTGTTAGAAGAAAAGAATATTTAGACAAATATTAAGGAAAATATGAAACAACATTAGGGGCGATCCATTAGAATTTTTGCTTGGTGATGTTGGAAGATTTTTGAAAAATTTCCTTCAAAAAAAATTCCTGCAAGGTATAACAATAAAATCTGCACTAAGCTTTTGTAAATTTACAAAAAAAAACTACATGCGCGCCGCCTGAAGTCCCCAGAAAAAGAGCTGAGACATAAATGGAATGGAGCAAGAAATCGAATCTTTTTCTCAGAACTGACAGACACAGTTGTCTGACAGACACAGTAGAATTTGATTAGAAATTGCTAAGAAACTCCGTCTATCCTACAATTCGTATCGCAACGAAGGAAGTCTACAGTGAAACTACAGCAAATCCTCTGAACTCTGGCTCACGAACAGGCTCCAGTCACTTGAAATGGTTGGCAGACAAAATGATGGTTGGTGTATTTTATATCAATATAAGACGTGCCACAAAGATATTTACTTACGACATATGACTAACAAATAAAGGTGATTCCATACCTGATATTTGCTCATCAACCGCGAACCAATCTAGAATGGAAACAAAAAATTAAGAAAACATGCATAAGGAAACAACTAAGATTGGTTAAAAGWCAAACCAAATGATTTCGTTATACAAGTGACTACAATAAAGTTTAAAATGTGATCAATACATAAGCCTGGCTAAGATATTGAACGTAATGGGARGATTGCACGAATACAATATTAAAGGCCTCGAAGAATTATCTGACGTGCTTACCTTTCTCTTTTGTTGATATATATCGACTTGTTGCATTGCTGTAGCCAACAATATTTCTAGCCAAAACGTCGACTCGATACCTGGTAGACTTTGCTAAGCCAGCGATTATAAGGGACGTTTCTTTAATAGATACACCACGAGGTGGACTGGTACTAATTGATACATAATAATCTATAAGCTCACTCCCACCATCGATGGTTGGTCGTCTCCATTTTATTTCAATGGTGGATACTGTACTTGTGACGTCTAAGAGGATTGGTGGTTGTGGCACAACTGAAGACATATTTAAGAAAGTGAAGTCAACTCAAAACATATGGTTTCGCCTTAAAAACATACTATATTATATCAGATCTTTTTGTGGACAGGCCCTTTATGAAAGAAAACACACTGTTTGGAGAAGACGAGAAAATGCTTTTATTCATCGAGCTAAAAGTCGCGGTAGTTCACTCAACAGTCCATAATAGAGTATGGAAACACAGAAAATATCKTCTAAAGCTTTTCGATAAAATATCAATTCTTCATTCGAAAGCCGCTTTTTTTATGCAATACGTTTTCTTACAAGTTCTAAAGAACAATGCGCGTTATGTCATAGTTAACTCAACAACTGAAAGTTTCTCAACGGTCGAAGTTTGAAAACTAAAAAACACAACGAAAGTTCCCCAAAAACGTTTGGCCAAGTTCAGTTAAGTTGGACGTGAAGTAGCGAAGTTCGCAAGTTCCTGCCGAAGTGCTGAACATCCAAACGTTACTGAAGTGAAATCTGTAAGTCTTTTGAAACATTTTCACTGCACAAGAATCATAAAACTTTACCCACAAGTCCCCAAGCACAGTCAATAACTATGCCGCAAGGCATTACTGGTTSAGTATCAGTTGACTCACCAATTCTCTTCACGTCAATATATCCATAGACATAACCTTGCCTATTAGACGCACGACATCGATATTGACCGTAGTCTGTTTTAGACTTAGTTTGTATTGTAAGAAGGCTACCGCCTTTTAATGGACTGACGCCATATTTAATAGGGACTTTGTCAGGGTTWGACCACGTGAATTCAGGAGTAGGATTACCACTGGCCATACATCGTAGGCTCACGGTGCGATTATCCCAAGAAGATACCGATATCGGAGAGGATGTCGATGAGTCGATGCTTGGACGATCTGGTTTGAAAATAAAAGTATTTATGAAACACTCCTCAGGACATTTCAGGCTACAAACTAAAAAAACGAAAAAAATAGACACACATTTCCGGGACATGAGGGTTGCATGGAAGATAATCAATATTTGAGAATTATTACGTGGGCTTCCTGTGGAAGATCATGTCTTAAAATGTCAGTGGACTTTTCTTCTTCGTCGTCGTCGTCGTGATTATGCTTCAAATTGGTAGTGCCTGCGTTGCAGATGGTCTGCAGTCTCAGTTTCCATGGGGATGTCAAACTAAACCAATCCGCGCYTACTTTCATTTTTRACATATATTGTTTTACATCAGTCGTCTTCGCGGCTTGATCGCGAAATCCAGCTTCGCTTCACGCACACGCCGTTCGTGGTAGGCTCACACTAAAAGATGTTAAGCGTAATTTTCGGAACGTGCCGGTCCACGAACTCAAAATTCTTACTAGTTCTTACGATCTTACTAGTTCTTACGAGATATCAAATGATTCAAACGATCAAAATATTACTCAAAGTTTAACAATACTGACAAAACTGCAAAGACTGTATTGTTTCCATTGTTTATATGACCTTTCAGATCAAATTTATTTAAATCTCACGTTTTTTTGCATATTTTGAATAATGTAGACGCTCTTAGAACKTAAAGTCGGGCTAGCTATTTTGGAAAACCGCTAAGAAAGACAGGATATTTAAAAAAGTTAAAAAAAGTTCAGTTCGGCAAAAAATTATGATGTAGTACATGACTTATATCAACTTAATTCTGTGTGACTTCAAACAAAGACTGTACCGTGAAGAAAATGAAATACCGCTCAATGGCGGCAGCTAACCCATTGTCGCAGCTACAAGAAGCCCACGTAAGCGATCCATGACTGTCTAGTTTTCATCCAAAATGAAAAAAGAAATTTTGGGGAATAATACAAATGCTACACTTGCATAATACTCACACTGCACTAGTACATCAGTCTGATTTTTGACAATGATATCTGGGTTATTAGACGCCTGACATTCATAGGTGCCGTTAACCTCTCTTCGCACATTACGAATGCTGAGTATAGCACTACCGTCTCCTTGACTGTATAGAATAGCTTTATTTCCTGCGGTTAACCGAACCCACTTGACAAATGGGGTAGGTTTGCCATGGGAAGTACACTTGATACTCAAGTCTTGGCCTTCACGCCGTACTACCGTGCGAGGCACTGTAATGGTTGGAGTTTCTGTGGAAAATAGGCAGTATGCACGTAAAAAGCAACATTTTTTTTGTAAAGACATCATATTTCATAGTTATTATATCTTGTC